AGCATATTTAATTATTTGTTTAATGAAACTAGCGTGATTTTGGCAAGCCCAACTAGGTGTCCTACATTAATTGTTGATTTAATCACTAATTACAGTAAGAGTGTGAGTAATGTGAATCATGTTGTTTGTTTAAAGTTAACAACTATTCTGGTATATTCAATTGGACATCAATACAAGCAACACGTGCTAAATGTCATCTGTTAGCCTATGATGACTCGCTGCAAAACCAACTGTTAGCCTTTTTGTTTATTTGTTTAATGAAACCGTATGTTATGGTTATGTTATTTAGCAGAGGCTTTTATCCAAAGTGACTCACAAAAAACATAAAATAACCATAATTAACATTAGATTATCAATACAAATAGTTACATAGTCAGTTACATTACGTATTACATTTTTAACAGGGTAATTAGTCATCTGTAACCTACATTTAAAAAAAGTAAACTTCCCAACCCTGATCATTAATTATAGTCAGCTAATTATTTAAACTTCAAAGGATGACAAAAGCATGTCAATATGATCTGTCTGTCCGCTACATTAAATCAGCAGTAGCCTAATATAAGTTCTGTCTTCAGTGTAAATGCTTCTTTAATAGTCATTGTATTACTATTTGAATTCATTGTAAATAATCTTAACTGTGCTGACTGCCTGTTTACTGTTTATCAGACAGTCTCATCATTTTGACATGTTTTGTAATACTTCAACTGGCTTGACAGTAAGTTTATAAAGTGTCTTTACTTCTGCCTTCTCCTATCCTAGTATTATGAAGTTGATTGACTAAGAGTAAGGTCAGCTAAATTAAGGAAGGTTTTGTTGTTTTTCTGTCTGAATTGTAATTTTCTTATGACATTCTACTTCAGGTGTCGTCAACTGGAATGTGTTCTCAGAGGGACACAAAAGGGAATTTCGGAAGGAATACCAAATTTCCAGGTGCTTTTACTGCGACAACCTTTATAAGGACGTTGGCACAGGCTACCGGGGAAGTGGACGGCGAGGAGTGTTGCAGGGTTTTTACTCCGAAGAGGGCTTCCCGGGGTACTGCAGCTGGAGCTGTTGTCTGGTGGTTGAGGGAACAGCAGACCCCGCCTCACCCCAGTGAAGAATCCAGTGCCCAATAAATAAAAATGTATTCTGCACTGAAATTCCTCTCGTCAAATTGCATGTTTATCTTTTGCAGCCTGGTGCATAAACACACTAACAGTTGTTTTTGAGTAATCTAGCACCTCTTCAAAGACACATTTGATTTGATTCATTTCGAACGTGTTATACAATAAAAAAAAATATATATAATAATGAAATGAAACAAGAGAATTATGATACTGTAGAAACATAAGCAGTATCAAATTGATTCAAAGGAGTTTACACTTATTTAACCCCACCCTTCTCCCAAAAACTAAATTAACAGTTTTCTTTTAACAAAATATACATCTAAATGTATGTCTACATACAATATACATTTACAATTATAAATAGATTATATCATTATTACTACAATATATATATATATATATTTATGTTGTATGTCAAATTTGATAAAGACAAATATAAAAGACTATCTTTTTACATCTGACATACAAAATACATTTGTTATTAAAAATCAAAAACATATTAACAACTTGTTGTTAATAATAATAATGTAATTTCAGTAAGAAAAACATATTTTCATGCATTTTTAGATGGTTAATAACAAGCATTACAATGTCTAAAGAGACTCGCAGTGTATGAGACTCAATACTCGCTGGTTGTACTTTTGTGGTCATCCAATCCGCTAGGTGGCGATGTTGCAAAACAACTAGGGTCCTGAGAGTGCATGCGGTCCTGAGAGTGCATGCGGTCCTGAGAGTGCACCCTCCTCCGGGGCTGCAGCTTCATACTATTGTCTGCATGACCCTAATATCATAACATGTGTGTTCTGGAGAATCACAGAACGGACGATCCTTATTATTATTATTATGCCGTTTAAACCAATTATTTAAATGTGTTTGTTAAATTCGGTATCATGTAAGTTGCGCTGACAGGTCCACACACTGCTTCCCCGCAGCGAGGCCCCCCCGCCCTCCTGTTGATAGTTCACGAGCGTCAAGCTCCTCAACAATATTGATATTATATAATATTTACCTTGTTTATTAAAAAAAAAAAAATAAAAATAAAAATAAAAAATATATTTTTTAAATATATATATATATTTTTTTTTTATGTGGGAAGAGGGGGGGCGGCGCCCCTAGCGCCCCTATGGGCCGGCCGCCACTGTTGCCGACCCCTGGTTTAGACAATGAACTTTCTGTTTTTGGGGGAAAATACATTACTTTGGTGAGGACAACTAGAGGCAACTGTGGCTCTGAGGTAGAGTCGTCTACCAATTGGAAAGTCGGTGGTTCGATTTCCAGCCCTGCAGTCATGTATCATTGGGCAAGATACTTAACCCCAAGCTATTCCCGATGTCCAACGGTGTGTGTGGATGTCAGTCTCTGAGCAGGCGGCACCTTGCATGGCAGCCTCTGTCTCAGAATGTGTAAAGCATGCTTGCATATGTAAAGTGCTTTAAGGGGTCATAATTGCGGGAAAAGCACTATTTATGCAGCTCAAAAAAAAAGAAAGAATGTGTCACAGTAGTACAGCAACTTCATGTGCTTCTTATGCGTATGCGCCATGTATGTGTGTTCCACTCTCTTTTGATGCACGGATAAAAACTGGAGCCCGCTATGTAACCCACACAAAGACGTTATTCAGTCGCCATGTTTTGAATCCAAAACCATAATAAGTCGGGGAAAGATATAACACTTCACAGTAAATGTTTTTGGACACACACAGGTTAAAAGTGAGCATGGTGAGATTCAGCAAGAGGAGGTTGCAATAAACGTTGAGAGTGAATAAATAAGATAAAACGCAACCATCTATCTCTTCTTCCAGGGAGGGAGTCACACAGTGCAGGACAACTTCTGGAAGGGCTGCTAAAGTTTCTCACAGCCATGTAAACGCTTCTCTCCATCCTTCAAGTTGCACAACAACAAGTAGACAACATGAAAAGACTAGTGATGAGGTGGACAACAAGTGTGCATGAATGGAAGTTGTACCCTGTGCTTTTTTCTGACCAAAGTTTTAAATAAACTCAACTGAGAATGGACTTTGGCAGGATTGATTGATTTCTTTCTCATCGGATCCAAGATCCAAGAATGTCCCTTTTCACATGCAAACATATTGTTATCTTTCATTGTGCTTTACCTGCATGAAAGAAAAAGTGCAGTCCATCAGGATTTATGAATTTAACATTGAATGTGAAATCACTTTATTCGGTTCTTTTGAATACAGTAGTTGAGATCCTGGTATGATGAATCACTTCCACATGCTGCAGTAAGGAACTCTTTATTTCACAAGACCCATGCAAGAGGAACAAATGGTTTACTCTTACATCTTTAAAGACATCTGTGATACACACAAGTGGTACTTTGAGTCTAACAGAGCATATTGAATTCAAATTAGATTTATTTCATGGAATAACTTCAGGTCTTTATTGTTCTTCCTCCTTGACTTCTGTGGCAGCTGGCTCCTCTTCAGGGCACAGGTCTGAAACGAAAAGAGTTGATACGTGCTTCAATATTCTCCTTACTGCCATGTGTGTGGTGGTGAATTGCTATCTTACCTGTGATATCTTTGGCAAAGAAGAATTCTGTGGGGAATTTGAGGCATGCAGCTTGTTGCTTGACAACTTCCACATCAAGGTCATCCAATTTCCCAGTCTTTGCTGCAGGGCAGGTAGGAGGAGAAACACGTTAAAGTCAACCAAATGGAGTGATACAATCCAGCGTTTTAGAGCTTTACACTTGTCAGAGAAGCTGAGAGTAACAGACAGCAGTGCACTCACTGAAGATGTACAGGTTCCTGCCAGTTATGGCCTCCTCTGTGGTGTCGGTCCAGAGGATGCAGTCAGTGCAGCTCCCCAGGTGCCTCCCAGTGTGCACGTGATCATTGTAGTTAAAGGTAACTATGAGATACAGAAGATTAACATGTTCTTATGCATTTATAGTAACTGTGTGTTTAAGCACACATTATAATCATGATTTACTTACATGTCACCTTGGAGTCGTTTCTGGGGATGGTGTAATTGACGCTTCCATACACACATTTCCCATTTCTTGAAAGGAGAGACAAATATGACATAAGCCTAAGCAGTTACCTCATGGATTGATTTGCTTAATTAATTAATTAAAAAAAAGTGATGAACAGTTACATTTTGAATTTTTCCCCCCAGCGTAGAGTCATGTCCTCACTACCAGGTATGGGGGTGAGTTTGATCCAGGTGCTGTTGGCATCTTTAAGTACACCCCTGATATCTCCAGTGTTTGATACTCCAGCATGGAATATCCATTTCCCAGCAACCTAGACACAAATGAACACGTTTTTAGTTTAATAACGAGTCTCAGCGTAAACAAATCGTTTTTGTTTTCAGTTGTATAGCCCTATAGAATAATAATGTAAAGTACACTGGGGGTTAAGGTTTAATCATGTGAGCAACGTACCCTGCTGCGATTCTCCAGAGGATTCAGCAGGTCTTCACAAACTGGATCAGATGCTGCAGTCAGGGAGGAGAGAGCCAGCAGAGCTAAACAAAACTGAACAGACATGATTAGAAGTCAAAATCACAGCCAACAGGAGACTGCAACACTATGGGCACAGCAGTAGTGCTAGACTTAAGACTAATATAGGGGAAGTTACATAACTATGGGTGAGAGAGAGAGAGAGACAGAGCAGGAGAGAGAGAGTTTTTGGTCATAAATAAGGACATGAGGTGGGCGGGCGACTGTATGTTTGTGAAATGATGTAACAATTTGCATCTCTGTAGTGACCAAAGAGCATATTGACAGAGTATTTTTGGCATCACTGATGTTTGCTGATCTCTGCTTGTTTTTTTCACGCAGAAGATAGGGATGATAGTTCATGTGAATGTTTGTTATATATTTATGTTTGTAAGAAGTTTTATTATAGTGTCATACAAGAGAAATACTGAGGTCTTCTTTGTGGTTCTGGCAAAGGCTCACTCACGCTTTCTTCTACGGTCTTCTGGTGATGAATTATTCCTCCCGTCACTCTTTCTCTGTGTTTGAAGACAGGGAGTTGTTCTCATGGAAAATGCAAATACCAGTCAATAAATAAATATATATATGGGACTAATCTAAACAGTGTTGACAAGGCAGTGTTACAGTTATATTACATTTAAAGGCAGTACATAATTACACATCTATGACTGTGTTGTTTCAGGAATTATTCCTTTTGAACTCTCTGGCCTATAAGATTGTACTGTTAATGAGCATGCACTGCTAGTATAATAATGTGGATACTATATTACAGTAGGCTCTTATTTCACTATGTGTTCAAGGTAAAAGATGGCTACGTTCTATTGTAAATGCATTTAGGAAAAGGCTGTTACTGCACATGTTACCATGCTATATAATATACAAAGAGTTCTCCTCCAGGGGTTTCAATTTGGTTCCTTTGTACAGTCTCATAGTTGCAGAGGAAGAACTGATGAATGTAGCAGTCCCCACTTCAAACTGGAGAAGAAACGGGAGAGAAGAGACGTGGACAGAAACGATGGAGGGGGGGGGTCGGGGGTTAGTAGGAGGACGGAGCGGGGGGCGACTGCCTGACATGGCAGGTTGTGGTGGAGGAAGAGTCACTGGCCTAGATGACATCACATCCTGTCCCGCTGGTTTTCACTGATGCACCCCAGCATGATGGGCGGCTGAACCGAACCTGCTTCAGAGCCTTCACACACTCATCGTCATGTTTGGAGAATACTGCAGAGATAACATGAGGGGAAACAAGTATGTGTGAGTGTGTGTGTAGGAACATTTTGCACTGTTACAATCAGAAATCCCTCCCAAATGTTATGGATCATGTCCAACAATTATAAGAAATAGTAGGCATTATGGGAAACATGCATTTGTGATTTCCTCGCAATCTAAGTGAACCCATTTCAATGGGATCTTAGGTAGCTGATGGTCAAAACCTCATTCTATACTGTCATTTTTTACGTCATCTTAAAAATAAGGGTCCAGTATTGCAACTAGCGGTGTTGTTGCAGATTGCAAACATCTGAATACCCCACATAAACCCCTCCTTTCCCAAACATGTCAAAGAACCTACGCAGCCTTCAGGTAACGTTAAAAATGCAAATGGCTCTCTCTTAACCCAGCGTTGAGGTTTGTCCATTCAGGGCTACTGTAGAAACATGGTGGACTCTGTGAGGAGGATGCAGATATGAAGGGCTTAATCTAATTTAAAGAAAACTACGTTACTACCCTTTTCGGACGTGTAATGAGCTAAAGCTTTGTTGTTTATTGATATCAGACAATGATACTAGATTATTCAATTATTAATTAAATGTTTCGTTTTGTTATTGCATTCATTTGTATAGTACTGTATCATGTCTGTATTACCTTTTGTTTCATTTGTATTTTCTTTAGTTTTACACGCTCGAAAATAAATAAATAAACTAAACGATTATACATTTCAGGTGATTATACACTAATGAAAACCTATTATTATCAGTATATTCTAATGCTGTCAATAAATCCAGCTAATTCCTACACATTGTTCCTATATTTCTATAGTTTAAGTTTTGAACACTCGCTACCCTAGATCCCTCTAATCTCCACATATAGTAGATTATAATTGACTTACAATTTCATTCTGAAAAGGGTTTAGGAAGTTTCCTCCCATCTCTCCATCCTCCCTGGGGGTCCCAGGCTGGTTACTCATGCTAAGGTTACCAGGAGAGTTCTTTAAAACAAATGGTAATGGTATGCTATTAAATGATCAAATATTGACACTGCAATTGTCATGTAAAGTAGATACATATATTATCTCACCTTAGGGAGGCTGTCCATATCACCTGACCCTAAAAGAGGGAACACATTGTAAAATTATAACTGGAGATTTTGTGTCAATACGGCACATACTGTACAAACTACTTATTCCTATACCTAGTGATCCATTCATGTGATGGGGCTCCATCCCAGCCATCCCCCCTAATGGACCGTCGCCACCTGCACCCATAGGGAACTGAGGGGAAAACTATTAGATACATACACAAACTCTACCAAACACTCAGATATGTGATATACACTGAGAGAGGAATGTCTTACGTTTGGTCGGCTTCCACCTGGAGGGACTGTGTTTATCATCGTGTACATGTTGTCTCCAGAGTTGGTTGAATCTGATGTAATGAACAGAAAAACAATGAGTTTGAAAGAGCACCAACGTACAGCTCTCGAAGACATCAAGAGACCACTCCAAGTTTTTCTTAAATCTCAATCTCTACATGTATGGCAACCATTCCATTCCAGTGTCTGTTGAATTCCAACACAGATAAATGCTGTCAGTAGTTATATATTAGAATAACTCAGTAGTTATATTATAGAATAATATCAAAAAACATTATTTTACTCAAACACATACTTATAAATAGTAAAACCAGAGAAACTGATAATGCTGCAGTGGTCTCTTGATTTCCAGAGCTGTATGTATGAGTTCAGATATAGACACACACTCAAACACACACACAGATCTTGCCTGCTGGACTTGGCATTATTGGGGTCCCAGGTGCCCCCCCTCCTCCTGGTGGTCCCTAAAAATGAGAGTTTTGGTTTCCATAAGTTTCATTCATAAAGCAATGACTTTCAACGTGTACAGCTAGTGAACAATGACAGTTTAAACTCAAACATCCATACCACATAATTTCCTGGAGATGCAGAAGAGTAGGGGGTCTGCAAAAAAACAAAGGGTAATCATGAAAGAAATGAAGTAACTTTTTTTTAGTTTGGTGTCTTTTTTTTGTCAAGTCACTTACCGAATTGGAGTTAGGAGGATTTGGCCAAGGTCTGCCCCCACCCGGTCCCCTGGAACACACGCACCCACACACACACGCACACACACACACACACACACACACACACACACACACACACACACACACACACACACACACACACACACACACACACACACACACACACACACACACACACACACACACACACACACACACACACACACACACACACACACACACACACTTTAGTCGTCTGCTTTTGGTAAGCCTCTTTGTTTCCAAATCATTTGGGCAACAGTTGGCAACAACATGTCCGCCTGATGCCAGAGAGGTACAGGGAACAGGGTGTTCTAAGTGAGACAGCTGTGAGAGGGTAGTTTAGATTACAGTGAGTGTGTGTAGAAAACATTATGTTGATACCACTCACATGTTCATGGCATCCCAGGACCAACCAGGGCGTTAAGTGGTGGTCTCATGCCACCTCCATAGCACTTAAGAAACAGATATCAGACATCCTTAGTTATGTTTACGAGAACTACCAGAACCAATTCTTTGTACATTTCCCTAAAGATTACCATGTCCCATACCTGGGGCCCGAGCGGTACCATGCCTCTGGGCGGTGTCATCCGCTGCATCGGACCTCCCATACCTGGATGTCCTGAAACATACGAAACTACAATCAGCCATCAGTTTGTTCCAGAGCAGTGTATCCACGTTGGATGACTTTTCTATTCTTCAGTCAGCTATTTTGGGCCATGTGTATCTTTATGGTCTAGTTTTAAGCTGAGAGAGGTGGAACGTTTTTTAACTCTATCTCTCATCAAGCTTGTTCATGTCATGTATTTCACACGTTTGTCTGATCACTACTGTGTTTCAAAACCCTGAGAGGACATACATTCCCTGTCTGAGATTTTTAGAAGTGTGTCTAAATGTAACATTTACAAGTTCAGCTTTAGTTACAGCAGTTTAACAGTAACTGAACATGTTAGGTTTTTTAATCTGTGCATCATTTATATGTGTTCTCTGAAGGAGTGAGTAGTTTGTGTGAATAGGGGTGTACTTAAAGATAAACAGATATCTGTGTATTACTCTCAATTAAAAGACTTAACTTCTAATAAACTCATCCTACAAGTGTCAGTGTGGCCACAGACTAATACAGCTTTTGCCTAAAGTACCAGAATGGATCTTTACTAGTAAATGATCATACAGTCCCACAATCAGGTTGTTACATTACATTACATGTTACTTGTTAGACGCTTTTATCCAAAGCGACTTACATACTCAATACTGTGGGCAATCCCCACAGGAGCAATTTGGGTTGAAGTGTCTTGCCCAGGGACACAACGACATGCTGACTGCAGTGGGGTTTGAAACTGTGACCCCTGATCCGAACACCAACGCACAACCCACTGCACCACACGCCTCCTGTTGAGATCTCCATATTAGGATGAATACTTAAAACGAAAGTTAATTATAATCAAATATAATCAATCATATTCTTGTATAACCCACAATGAAAATGCTTCATATTTTATGATGTTCTATATTTACAGTATAAACAAAACACAAGTGGTTTGTTAAGTTGAGTGTGTAAGGCCTGTAATGGTTTATGGGTGTCACTGATAAGAAGGCAGTTTCTTCCCTCTCCCCTCACAGCAGTACACAGGGAGGGGGGCTCCTGACTTAAGGAGAAATACATTGAGGCCCCAAAAAGGTGGTTATGTCATAGCCGAGAATAATATTTTGCAAGTCCTGCAGAGTAGGGGTCATGTCCTTTTTACACAAACATGGGAAGGTGTGTCTTATGCCAGAGCCATAGAATATGTCTGGTCATGTCCAGTTCTTTACATCAGAGGCCATGCCCAGTTTCCACAAATATGGGTATGGAGGAGGTGTCTTTAGGTTTTTCTATCCTGTTTTCGAGCATAAAGACACTGGCAGATGAGGAGGAACCTTCTTTTTGGAGAGAGAGAGAGAGAGAGCAGGGGGGGGGATCCCCTGGTATATTCTCTCTCGGTAACGCTCTCTCCCTGGAGAGCTGGGTTTTTGCTCTCGGTAAGGTTCTCTCAAACTTGGTAACTATTGCGTTAATCTCTGTGTATTGAATGCTGAGGGAATGGTTTAGATGAGAGTTGTGAACGGGATCTTTTATACCTACCATTCTTTAAATGTGTTGGAATTCTTGCCCCTACCATTATTTAAATGTGTTGGAATTCTTACCCCTACCATTCTTTAAATGTGTTGGAATTCTTACCCCTACCATTCTTTAAATGTGTTGGAATTCTTACCCCTACCATTCTTTAAATGTGTTGGAATTCTTACCCCTACCATTCTTTAAATGTGTTGGAATTCTTATACCTACCATTCTTTAAATGTGTTGGAATTCTTTAATGGGTGAACTATGAATTAAGGTTTTAGATTAGAAAAGAACCCCAGCATGATATGTTTAGTATGATTATAATGTTGTAACGAGAGAAGGTAAAAACCCTGTATTAGTTTGGACCTATTTTTCTTCAAATAAACTGATCCCACCTTTTGGATTGGGACAACTTAAAAGACATCTGCGCTCTCCTCTCCTGCTTGAAGGGTAAGATCGCACACTGCCACACTCACACTTAGGTAGGGCCACACCTCATTTACTGATATCAAAATCCTTCGGGATCGCTTAAACAGATTTAGGGGGTCGTCTGAATTGAAACAGCAGTTAATTGAACCTGGTTCTTCGGGGAGTTAATAGAGGTGAGATCTTGCTGATCGTTGGTGGATCTGAGCCAAGCAGTAAACTTACATAGACTCAATAACTTTGGTTAGGTCAATTAGGAGGTCTGAGTAATTTAAGTTCGGAATAAATTATCGGATGACTCCCGACTCTTACATGGCGCCCAACGTGGGGCTCTGTGAGGAGTTATACTTCTACAGAGTTAAAATACAAGAACCAAAACGGCCTAGTGACAACGGTCGATGAGCACAAATCAGCGAAATACAGGCTGAAAGTCTTGTTAAAATACCTACCCAAATCCTAGAATATATATTTAAACCTAAAAGTGTAGTAATTAAAGTTGATACTATTGCACCGGACTGAGGGTTATATTATATCGGATATTGCTGTCTGTTAAAGAAGCTAAAGTAGGCTTTTCTTCCCCTAGCCAAACTGGGAAGCCCCTGTGGTCCCTAATGCACAGGTTTGGTGGCTAGTAGTTATTAGTAAAGTGAGCCGTAGGAGCACTGCTCAGTACCTGTCCAATTACTTTGAAACTTATAGGTAGGACTTGACAAAGAGCTGCGGTTAGAATTTTTGCGTTAAAACATAACGTGGTGAAGAGTTAATAGGATATTTAATAAAGATAAACCATAGGTCAGGGTACCTAGGCTGTTGAAAAAGCTCGAAGCTGGATACATAACCCTCTTAGATGAGGTATCCGCATTCACTAGCTGAATCCAGGAGAGTAACCTAGAACCAAGTGACGGTATAGTCGGACTGATCATCCGGTGCGAGTAATAGCCTAGGAACTTGCATGTGCATAAAAGAGTGAACTTAAACCCTTAAAAAATGGCGGATGAGGTTAGAACGCAGTTTTTTAATGACTCAGAGCCAGCCACAGATTGGGAGGGATACACAGAAGCTAGATCCGGACCTTCTGCCCCCCCTGGTCAGCTTAGCCCAGACCCACGGGCGTACCGCGACCTAAATACGTTCCTGTTAGACTACCGTTTAGACAGAGAGCAAGAAGCAGGTGGTATAATGTCTGAGACCCTACCTCCACCCTACGGAGATGATAGCTCACAAATGCCACTTATGAGTATCCCATCTAATACTCCTAAAATAAAACACATTGTTAGACCTGATATTCAGGGTAAAGGAATGTTGGAAATAATAATGGCAGATATTGAAAATCTTAAACTGGATCAACCAACCATGTTAGTGAACCCTGCTAATAGGGAGCTAAAACATGCAGGGGGAATAGCAGCAGCTCTGGCAAAGAGAATAGGTCCTAGCATGCAAGCACAGAGCGATAATATGATAAGGACTATTAAACTGTCAGAAGGCAATGTGGTTGTCAGATGACCCACAAATACCTGTCGTTTTGCATGAACTTTGTAAAAACCTGTGTGGGAACTATCAGCAGATATCAGACCCTAACAATATCTTGAACACCAATATGAGGAAGTTTTTTTGCAAAGCTAAAGCTCAAATACTTTACCAAAATCAACTATACTATTTGCTCTTGACCCCTTTTTGAAATGGGATTTTCCGTTACACAACAGGAGACTCAATTCAGGCCTTAAAGAACGCTTTACAAACAAGTCAGGGAGAGTTAAATGTGGTGCTATGTTGCTCATGAGGGAGCTTACACTTTTGGGAAAAGATCTCCCCCTTTCTCTGCTCCTGAGGTGCTGCAGCCTCACAGCAGCACCCATTTTTAACAATTATGGCTGAGTTTGGGAGTATAACTAGCAAAACGACTTATAGTACAAAACATAAAACACAATGTAAGTGGTCTGAACACGTGTGAAAACCACAAAAGCTGAATATTAAGACAGATTTCTGCACAAGCCTTGAATAAACCTTGTTATTGTGATGTATCTCCAATTGTCTTTCAGTAACGGACAAACGATTTGTCGAGAAAAGACTAAAGATGTGACCACCAGTTGGATTAAATTTGACCATCAATCAAAACGTTTCTATAAATTCTTGAACATTGAAACCTTAGCATAAATAGGATACTGATTTGTTTTTGGGCATGAACAAAAGGCAGACAGGAGTGTGTTCACAGTCTCATTCACGCTGTATGCAAATATACAAAGAGTTCTCCTCCAGGGGTTTCAATTTGGTTCCTTTGTACAGTCTCATAGTTGCAGAGGAAGAACTGATGAATGTAGCAGTCCCAACTTCAAACTGGAGAAGAAACGGGAGAGAAGAGACATTGACAGAAACGATGGAGGGGGGGGGGGGTCGGGGGTTAGTAGGAGGACGGAGCGGGGGGTGACTGCCTGACATGGCAGGTTGTGGTGGAGGAAGAGTCACTGGCCTAGATGACATCACATCCTGTCCTGCTGCTTTTCACGGATGCACCCCAGCATGATGGGCGGCTGAACCGAACCTGCTTCAGAGCCTTCACACACTCATCGTCATGTTTGGAGAATACTGCAGGGATAACATGAGGGGAAACAAGTATGTGTGAGTGTGTGTGTAGGAACATGTTGCACTGTTAGTAAGTATGCTGAATCAGAAATCCTTCCAAAATGTTATGGATTAAGTCCAACAATTATAAGACACAGTCAAAGTTATGCGAGTCATGCATTTGTGATTTACTCCCATTCTAAGTAAACCTATTTTAATTGGATTTTAGGTAGCTGATGGTCAAAAAAACATTCTATACTATAACTATTAAGTAAATCGTTAAAGTAACTATCCAGTATGGCATTTAATGGGGTTGTGGCAGATTGCAAACAACTGGATACACCCACGATAACCCCTTCTTTCCCAAACAGAACAAACTAAATATGTGGCTCTGTCTTAATCCAGAGTTGAGGTTTGTCCATTCAGGGCTACTGTAGAAACATGGTGGACTCTGTGAGGAATGTAGATATGAAGGGTTTATTCTAAAGTAAAGAAACTATGATTATTAGTTTCAGGTGATTATAAACTATTGAAAAATAGTTATAAATAGTATATTCCAATAAATCCCCCTTACATTGTTCCTATATTTCTATAGTTTAGTTAGTAGTTATATTACGTTTTGAGCTCTTGCTACCTAATATCCTCTAATCTCCACATATAGTAGATTATAATTGACTTACACTTTCATTCTGAAAAGGGTTTAGGAAGTTTCCTCCCATCTCTCCATCCTCCCTGGGGGTCCCAGGCTGGTTACTCATGCTAAGGTTACCAGGAGAGTTCTTTAAAACAAATGGTAATGGTATGCTATTAAATGATCAAATATTGACACTGCAATTGTCATGTAAAGTAGATAAATATATTATCTCACCTTAGGGAGGCTGTCCATATCACCTGACCCTAAAAGAGGGAACACATTGTAAAATTATAACTGGAGATTTTGTGTCAATACGGCACATACTGTACACACTACTTATTCCTATACCTAGTGATCCATTCATGTGATGGGGCTCCATCCCAGCCATCCCCCCTAATGGACCGTCGCCACCTGCACCCATTGGGAACTGAGGGGAAAACTATTAGATACATACACAAACTCTACCAAACACTCAGATATGTGATATACACTGAGAGAGGAATGTCTTACGTTTGGTCGGCTTCCACCTGGAGGGACTGTGTTTATCATCGTGTACATGTTGTCTCCAGAGTTGGTTGAATCTGATGTAATGAACAGAAAAACAATGAGTTTGAAAGAGCACCAACGTACAGCTCTCGAAAACATCAAGAGACCACTCCAAGTTTTTCTTAAATCTCAATCTCTACATGTATGGCAACCATTCCATTCCAGTGTCTGTTGAATTCCAACACAGATAAATGCTGTCAGTAGTTTTATATTAGAATAACTCAGTAGTTATATTATAGAATAATATCAAAAAACATTATTTTACTCAAACACATACTTATAAATAGTAAACCAGAGAAACTGATAATGCTGCAGTGGTCTCTTAATTTCCAGAGCTGTATGTATGAGTTCAGATATAGACACACACTCAAACACACATAGACACACACTCAAACACACACACACAGATCTTGCCTGCTGGACTTGGCATTATTGGGGACCCAGGTGCCCCCCCTCCTCCTGGTGGTCCCTAAAAATGAGAGTTTTGGTTTCCATACATTTCATTCATAAAGCAATGACTTTCAACGTGTACAGCTAGTGAACAATGACAGTTTAAACTCAAACATACATACCACATAATTTCCTGGAGATGCAGAAGAGTAGCGGGTCTGCAAAAAAACAAAGGGTAATCATGAAAGAAATGAAGTAACTTTTTTTTAGTTTGGTGTCTTTTTTTTGTCAGGTCACTTACCGAATTGGAGTTAGGAGGATTTGGCCAAGGTCTGCCCCCACCCGGTCCCCTGGAGCACACACACACACACACACACACACACACACACACACACACACACACACACAAACACACACACACACACACACACACACACACACACACACACACACACACACACACACACACACACACACACACACACACACACACACACAAACTCTTTGCCAAGTTATTTAGGACACGGTGTCTATTTGTTTTCAGGGGAAGGTGAGAGCTTCATGTTTTCAGTTTAGACAATGAACTTTCTGTTTTTGGGGGAAAATACATTACTTACAGTATGGTGAGGACAACTAGAGGCAACTGTGGCTCTGAGGTAGAGTCGTCTACCAATTGGAAGGTCGGTGGTTCGATTTCCAGCCCTGCAGTCATGTATCATTGGGCAAGATACTTAACCCCAAGCTATTCCCGATGTCCAACGGTGTGTGTGGATGTCAGTCTCTGAGCAGGCGGCACCTTGCATGGCAGCCTCTGTCTCAGAATGTGTAAAGCATGCTTGCATATGTAAAGTGCTTTAAGGGGTCATAATTGCGGGAAAAGCACTATTTATGCAGCTCAAAAAAAAAGAAAGAATGTGTCACAGTAGTACAGCAACTTCATGTGCTTCTTATGCGTATGCGCCATGTATGTGTTTTCCACTCTCTTTTGATGCACGGATAAAAACTGGAGCCCGCTATGTAACCCACACAAAGACGTTATTCAGTCGCCATGTTTTGAATCCAAAACCATATTAAGTCGGGGAAAGATATAACACTTCACAGTAAATGTTTTTGGACACACACAGGTTGCAAGTGAGCATGGTGAGATTCAGCAAGAGGAGGTTGCAATAAACGTTGAGAGTGAATAAATAAGATAAAACGCCACCATCTATCTCTTCTTCCAGGGAGGGAGTCACACAGTGCAGGACAACTTCTGAAAGGGCTGCTAAAGTTTCTCACAGCCATGTAAACGCTTCTCTCCATCCTTCAAGTTGCACAACAACAAGTAGACAACACGAAAAGACTAGTGATGAGGTGGACAACAAGTGTGCATGAATGGAAGTTGTACCCTTGGACTGTTATCTTTCTTACAGTGCAGACGCTTTTCTGCTTGCTCTTGCCTCTGCTTACTTTTTATGCTGATTTTCCTATTCTTATTCTCTGAAAACTTCGAGCAGCGGCTCCTGGACATTAACTTATCACTGGGACAGTTATTCATCGTAAATAGACGGAGGGTTTCAGCCATATTTCAACATTTTTACGACGACCTCAGTCTTACAGTAGCGTGGCCTAGCAACAGCTAAAGCCTGGTAGGCTACTGCATGCTATTTAGCTTAAGCTAGTTGGTAGCAAAATGCCTCCGTTCTCTACAGATGACTTCCACAAACTTCAACAGAAGATGGCTGTGTTGGAAATGAAAATGCAACGGTTGGAAGTTAACGTGGAAGTGAATGGACTATGTTGTGGGAATAACACCACTTTACCAGTGTTGCAAGATAATGGAAAAGTGTATGCTAACTCACAGCTAGTTAGCAGCTACAAGGTTTCCAAGGAACAGGAGGGCTGTGTACTGGGTAATACATCTACAAGTGGTAGTCCTCCCTGGAACTCTCTGGGTGCAAAGCCTAAGAGTAAATCATTTCCATGGGATTTGGGAGGACGAATAACAGGCAGAGCCCAGCGCTCTGAAATCTGTGATGCGACCGGCTGGCCTGCATTGTTATCACCCAGGAAGAGTGCCTCTTCAACCCCTATTCATACTAGGAAACAGCCGTGGACAGCTGCTAAAGGGAGAACTACAAACAATCCTCCTAAACCACCAAGTGTGCCAATCCAGAACAGATACGCTCCGCTGACCGAGAACCGGAGATCTCTTTCTGATGACCTGGATAACCCGTCCTCTTCACACAGCAGGGTAAGGACCAATAGCTACACCAAAAGTAAAAGGCTAGAGGGAAAGCTAACGGCTGGGCCTGAAACTCTGATTGTGGGTGATTCTGCTGTAAGAGATGTAAAAGGTCTGTGTAGTAAGAACAACACCAAAGTACTCTGTTTTCCCAAGGATATGGTCTCCGACTTGGCTGAGAAGATCCTGCATATTGGGGCTGAACATCCGACTGTGAAGAATGTGGTACTACATATTGGAACAAATAATGTTGTGAAACAACAGTCAGAAGCGCTGAAAGAAGACTTTAAATGTCTGTTGGAAACTGTCAGCTCTCTAAATGCAGAGGTGTTCATCAGTGGCCCTCTACCGCCAGTCAGAAGAGGAGTGGAGAGATTCAGCAGACTGTTTGCATTGAACATGTGGCTTTCAGCTGCCTGCACTGACCATTCTGTCCATTTTATTGACAATTTTAACTTTTTCTGGGATCGCAGACATCTTTTTAAGGCAGATGGAGTTTGCCTGAACAAGTCAGGAGTGAAATTGTTTATCTCTAACATATTCAACTGCCTGCGTCAGCAATCTGTTCCCTCTGCCAAGGACAAGCGGCAAGAGGAATCAAAACAGGAGAAAGACACAACACATCGCGCAGAAAACCCTGAAGAAGTATCACTGCACCCGCCTGAGGAATGTTCTGATTATGGGAGACCTATGACACAAATGGAGGAGTCTCCACTGCCCGTCACCCCCCCTGTCAACGCCTTGGAGGATACTCTTCATTCATCTCCCAGCTCTCTCTACTCTCCGCTCACCCTTTCACCCTCGCCCTCCCCCCTGGAGTTCGATGACCGCATGAAGGCGAGATGCAGGGTTGGCAGCATGTCCTTTACCCCCGCCCCTCAACGACGCCCACCAAAATCACCGAAGCAGAGACGCGCACCATCTCCCCCGTCTTCATCACTGTGCCTATGTCAACCACCTCCCATCCCTTCAAGAAAGCATCTGCAGTCTCCGAAGCCTGATAAGGATGTGTGTGTACAAAACGCAACAAACTTTTACTGATATGTGCTGGGTCCAGGCTCAAGGGCATATGGCACTCTCAACTCTTTCCAGCACATGCCGGGGCCCTGCCTGCCAGTAGCTTTGCCGATATCTGTGTTGATAGGTAATAGATTAAGAGCGGTAAATCAGCTTAGAAACAGGAAGTGCTCAAACGTTTTAGTGAGGTTATCAAATTTAGCAGTGATTCCATGTCAGCCACAGCTTGTCACAAACATTTTTTTTACTGATAGTGTATTTAACAAACTTAAACTAGCTTTATTAAATGTCAGGTCTTTGGCAGGAAAAACATTTTTAATCAATGATTTTATCACTGAGCACAATCTCGATTTTATGTTTTTAACGGAAACTTGGATTGAACAAAATAACAGTGCAGCTGTTCTTATCGAATCAACCCCTCCCAACTTTAGTTTTATGAGTCAGGAAAGAATGCATAAGAAAGGGGGTGGAGTTGCTATTTTGTTCAATGATTCCATTCAATGCAGGAAGACATCTTATGGGGACTTTGCTTCTTTTGAATATGTGGCCCTTCAGCTGAAATGCTCCTCTCGAGCTCTGTTCCTAAATATCTATAGACCACCCAAATACTGTGCAAGCTTTTTTGATGATTTTACTGAACTGCTGTCTATAGTGTGTATTGACTTTGACCGTTTAGTCATTGTTGGTGATTTTAACATCCATGTTGACAACCCCCAGGACAGAGGGGCTAAAGAACTGTTTTGTGTTCTTGATAACTATGGACTGACTCAGCATGTGGCGGAGCCCACGCACAATAAGGGGCACACTCTGGACTTAATTATCTCAAAGGGTCTGAATATCTCAAAGGTTGTGGTGACTGATGTTGCACTCTCTGATCATTCCTGTGTTTTCTTTGAGAGCTCTATTTCTGTTCACAAAAATGTTCAGAAAGAGGTAACCACAAAGCGATATTTAACTGAAAATACTAGGGAAATGTTTACTCATAATTTCTCATCCACACTTGCCCCTGCTAACATCTCAGTAAATGAGCTAGTAGATCATTTTAATTCAAAAATTAAAAATGTTATAGATACCATTGCTCCAACTAAGGTAAAGGAAGTGATTAGCAAGAAAATATCTCCATGGAGAAAGGCCATGGCCGTGAGAACAGAAAAAAGAGAGTGTCGAAAAGCTGAACGTAGGTGGCGAAAAACAAATCTCCAGGTTCACTTTGAAATCTATAAAGAGAGACTTGGCCTTTATAATTTGGAATTGAAAAAGGCACGACAGTCTTTCTTCTCTGACATCATTACCAAAAACAAAAACAACGCACGTGCCTTGTTTGCTACCGTCGACAGACTAACTAACCCCCCAGTGTCAGTAGCCTCTGAATTTCTATCCACCAGGGCGTGCAATGATTTTGCCTCCTTCTTCACTGACAAAATTCAGAAAATTAGACAAGCAGTCAGTGCCTCTACATCAGGTACAGCAAATGTTTTGTCCCTATGTCCACCTAATATCAATTCAAACACCATGATACAATTCCATCAGATTAATGGTAAAAACTTAGAGGACATTATTCAACTTCTGAAATCCTCCTCCTGCTGCCTTGATATTATTCCAACAGGATTTTTCAAAGATGTTTTTCATTGCATGGCCTCAGATCTACTTCATATAGTAAACACATCTCTTCACTCAGGTATTTTTCCAGAGGCCCTGAAAACTGCAGTCATTAAACCGCTCTTAAAAAAGAATAATCTAGATGCCTCAGTAATGAACAATTACAGGCCAATATCAAACCTGCCATTTCTAGGTAAAATCATTGAAAAAGTAGTATTTCAACAGTTCAGTAACTTCTTGCATTTAAATAACTGTTTGGATGTGTTCCAGTCAGGATTTCGTCCAAACCACAGCACTGAGACTGCTCTTGTAAAGGTCTTCAATGACATCCACTTAAACACAGACAGTGGCAGAACTTCAGTGTTAGTATTATTAGATCTCAGTGCTGCATTTGACACTGTTGACCACAACATATTACTAGACCGACTAGAAAACTGGGTGGGACTTTCGGCAACAGTTCTAAATTGGTTTGAGTCCTACTTAAAGGACAGAAAAAACTTTATTTCTATAGGTAAATACACATCTGAGTTGACAAATATGACATGTGGGGTACCTCAAGGCTCCATCTTGGGGCCTCTTCTCTTTAACATCTACATGCTACCACTGGCTCAGATAATGAAAAACAACAAAATAAGTTACCATAGCTATGCGGATGACACACAAATTTACGTAACAATTTCACCAGGAGATTATGCTCCAATTCAAACACTGAGTAAGTGCATTGAACAAATCAATGACTGGATGTGTCAGAACTTTCTCCAATTAAACAAAGATAAAACTGAGGTAATGGTTTTTGGAGCCAAGGCAGAACGTATAAAAGTTAGCGCTGAGCTTCAGTCTGCAATGTTCAAAACAACAGATAAAGCCAGAAA